TCCACGGGTATTGGAGGCCATGGACCGTCGTCAAAAGATCCTTTGCCAACTACTGAGCCATTTGTTGTCATTGAGGAAGAGATCAATGTCTCAAGTGATCAAGCTCCTGTGTCGTCAACACCCGTTTCATCCCGTGCTCCGGTTGAGAAACAGAAGCGTAAAAAGACTATGGCAACGAATTCGGAGCTTGATGAAAAGCTTATAAAATTTTTAGATACTATGGCATCGAARTATGGGAACCCTGAACTTTTTAGTTATGAGTCATGCCTWAAAAAATTGAACGAGCTTGGGTGGGCAAAAGATGATCYGTTGTACCGTATTGCCTTTTCACTTCTTACGRACAACCGTAACAGAGAAGCTTGGATGACAATACCGTCTGAAATTGCAAGAGAATGGGTGAGAACAGTTGGGGCAAAGCAAGGATATCAGTAAAGATTAGTGCCACGTTTTTAGAACATTTATAGAACTTTTGTGTGCTAACTTGTGGGTTTTTTTTTATGACAATTTGGTGCCACGTTTTGTTGGACATATGATGTTTTTTGGATTTATGACATGTATGTGGCTATGGATTTATGATAAGCATGGTTATTTTATGCATTTCTTTTTAGATTTATAATGTTTTGTTTGGATTTATAATATATGTTTCTTTGAATAGATATGTTGACTTTTGAGGAAGAAATGATGATCGTAGTCCTAATATATATATATATATATATATATATATGTAAAACGGCGAAGAAATGTTTCGGAAAGAATAGAAAGAATGCCTGATAATACTTCAGCACTGAGCGGATATGCGTACACCCAAGAGCTATTAACTGGACCTAGTACGCAATGTCAAGAGTTGATGCGCCTCTCACGTGAAGCGTATATACTGTTATGCAATCATTTTAGACAAAGAAATTGGGTGAAAGATAGTAGATATGTTAGTGTAGAAGAGAAAATGGCAATGTTTTTGATGATGATCGGCCATAACGAGCGTTACAGAGTAATTAAACGTAGATTTCAACGCTCCACAAGAACTGTTCATGTTTGTTTCCATGAAGTTTTACTGGGYATGATGGAATTCGCAAGAGAAATAGTGGTGCCAACAACTTCTGATACAACTTCAAATACGTCGAGTCATCAAAGACGTTTGAGAGAAATATTTCCGGTAAGACTTATTATTGACGTTTTAAAGTTTTATATAAACA